GAGGAAGATACTTTTAGCTACTAAATAAAATACACAGTGATAAAGTAGGAAGGGGGGCTGGAATAAGAACTTTACCAAGAATAGCCACCAAGGTCATCTTACAATGACTATGAGCAAAATGTTTTTACAAAGAAATCTTATTAAAGAAAATAAAACAAAATTTAAAAAAATAATGAAAAAATATGATCACTAGATATCAGTAAGGACTAGCACTGAGCAAGCACTCAAATATTTGCTGAATGAATGAATGAACTCATGAATGAATCAATCAATATGTCCTGTACCTATAAACATCCAGCTTCAGCTTTTTGGAGGTTTGTCTCACACTAAAAATGCTTATTCAATTTAAATGTTCTCTTGTCAGATATTTAATTTTTGTGTTCAAACTCAAAAATATAGGCTTTGGGGGGAAGATTATATCAATGTTACATTTATAGCTACATTATAGCTATAAATGTTCTACTCAGCATTTGCAAAAATGCAGTTCTTTGAGGAAATAACCAAGCTTATCATTTAACAATAAAAGAAGAGATACTTCTGGGCAACTTTTTAAAATACACCAATTCAAGGTACCATAATTTCCTTTCCATCTTTTTTCTCCTATCAATCAGAGCTTAACCTTGCTGTGATCTCCAGGTCTTCACTCAAAAGCTTCTCTCCACTTCAATCCTCTCTTAAGTCAACCCCCTCCTAGTTCTAGTATCAGACTTCAGGCAAAGCTGACCTCAAAAAAAGTCTTGCAGCTTTTTCCAGCAATAAATTCTGATAACTTTACTCTGACAAGAGCTCTTTCCTGTGGCAGCTTCTCTTAGGTCTATTGCTAAATCCATCCTTGCCAGAGGTGTGGCTTCCTTTGTTCAGGTCTCTTTTCTCCTTTCCACAGGGCAGAACAAAGAGAAACATTCAGAATCATCTGCCCTCTGACTGTAACACCAATCTCTTTTCTCTACTTTGTGACTCCCAACCTCCCCTTATCCCATGGGTATTGTGGGGGGACGGTGTTCCTCAGGCCTCTTTTGATGGGTGTTGTGGGGGGACGGCGTTCCTCAGGCCTCTTTTGATGGGTGTTGTGGGGGGACGGCGTTCCTCAGGCCTCTTTTGATGGGTGTTGTGGGGGGACGGCGTTCCTCAGGCCTCTTTTGATGGGTGTTGTGGGGGGACGGCGTTCCTCAGGCCTCTTTTGATGGGTGTTGTGGGGGGACGGCGTTCCTCAGGCCTCTTTTGATGGGTGTTGTGGGGGGACGGCGTTCCTCAGGCCTCTTTTGATGGGTGTTGTGGGGGGACGGCGTTCCTCAGGCCTCTTTTGATGGGTGTTGTGGGGGGACGGCGTTCCTCAGGCCTCTTTTGATGGGTGTTGTGGGGGGACGGAGATCCTCAGGCCTCTTTTGATGGGTGTTGTGGGGGGACGGCGTTCCTCAGGCCTCTTTTGATGGGTGTTGTGGGGGGACGGCGTTCCTCAGGCCTCTTTTGATGGGTGTTGTGGGGGGACGGCGTTCCTCAGGCCTCTTTTGATGGGTGTTGTGGGGGGACGGCGTTCCTCAGGCCTCTTTTGATGGGTGTTGTGGGGGGACGGCGTTCCTCAGGCCTCTTTTGATGGGTGTTGTGGGGGGACGGCGTTCCTCAGGCCTCTTTTGATGGGTGTTGTGGGGGGACGGCGTTCCTCAGGCCTCTTTTGATGGGTGTTGTGGGGGGACGGCGTTCCTCAGGCCTCTTTTGATGGGTGTTGTGGGGGGACGGCGTTCCTCAGGCCTCTTTTGATGGGTGTTGTGGGGGGACGGCGTTCCTCGGGCCTCTTTTGATGGGTGTTGTGGGGGGACGGCGTTCCTCGGGCCTCTTTTGATGGGTGTTGTGGGGGGACGGCGTTCCTCGGGCCTCTTTTGATGGGTGTTGTGGGGGGACGGCGTTCCTCGGGCCTCTTTTGATGGGTGTTGTGGGGGGACGGCGTTCCTCGGGCCTCTTTTGATGGGTGTTGTGGGGGGACGGCGTTACTCGGGCCTCTTTTGATGGGTGTTGTGGGGGGACGGCGTTCCTCGGGCCTCTTTTGATGGGTGTTGTGGGGGGACGGCGTTCCTCGGGCCTCTTTTGATGGGTGTTGTGGGGGGACGGCGTTCCTCGGGCCTCTTTTGATGGGTGTTGTGGGGGACGGCGTTCCTCGGGCCTCTTTTGATGGGTGTTGTGGGGGGACAGCGTTCCTCGGGCCTCTTTTGATGGGTGTTGTGGGGGGACGGCGTTCCTCGGGCCTCTTTTGATGGGTGTTGTGGGGGGACGGCGTTCCTCGGGCCTCTTTTGATGGGTGTTGTGGGGGGACGGAGATCCTCGGGCCTCTTTTGATGGGTGTTGTGGGGGGACGGAGATCCTCAGGCCTCTTTTCCTCTATTTTTCTAACCCATTCCTTCCTACCCCAACCCACTGCAAGAGATGAGGAAGGACTAAGTTTGTTGATGAGAGTCTAGGAGATTCACTAAGTCACATCTGCCAGAGAAGAGACGTCCTCCTTTCTTCACCCTCCTCCTGCAGACTACGCAGAAGGTATCTTCTCAGAGCAATCCATTCTCTCTTTTTTTAACCCCTTCCACACCTATCATGACAAGCTAAAGCAGGTCAGGACCTTATCTAAGAATCCAGACTTCTCTCTGGCTCCCTCCCTCCTTAAAGTTATACCTGAATGTAGTGTTGTCAAAATTTAGATTCAGGGTGAAAAGCAGGAAGTGGTCTTAGACGAGGAGGCTAAATCACATGCTTCAACTCAGCATTTACCAGAAAGCCCAGCATCAGCTGATCCTAGAACCTACTCAGCTATAAACACAATGGTATTAGCTTGGTGCATCCTCTGGCAGGATGGCGGATTTGTCATTACTTTTAATGGCAAAAGAAATCGCCACTTTTAAATAAAAGTAATGGCAAAAACTGCAACTTCTTTTGCATCAACCTAAGGGGCCCCCAATCTGAACATCCATTGTCAGAGATGTTAACAGAAGCAAAATCATCATGATGGGAACCTGTTTACTTAAAAACTGACCATTTATCAAATTAATTCTCAACCAAATGCCCCTCCTTTCAAGGCATTAGTATCTATCCATCTATCTCGCCAATAGTATAGCAGGTAATAAATTCCAGTACAGAAGTCTACCATGAAAGAAGTTATAAATATTGCAATAGATGAAGAATTTTACAAAGTAGATGAAACTGTACTGCAGAGCTGCTTGAAATACAGGCCAAGTCATTAATAAATGAGGATATAGCACAAGTTTACCAGTGAAAAATCAAAGAGAAAGCCAACCAGAAAGACATACCAGTACTTTAAAAGAAAGAAATTCAAATAGCAAAAGATGAACAAAGTACTTAGGAAAAATAAATAAAATCCTTCAGTTGTGGGGGATTTTTGCACAAAACGGCCCTTTTCATGACTGCACAGCAAAAATCAAGGGTAAAGCAAATGCTATTTAACCCTGCTATTATACAATTGTATCTAAAAATGGTTGGCCGTCTTTTTGACTTACCTTCCGCTGCATAAAAGCCACCTGTATATTTCATGATTTAAAACAATAACAATGTAACATAGCTCACAATTCTGTTGGTTGATTAGGTAGTTTTTCTGCTTCACTTGTGGTCTGGATGCTGGAATGACAAGAAGATCCAAAATGGCTTTATTCATATGGCTGAAAGTTGGTACTGGCCATCGACTGAGGGCTGAGGTGGAAGGGTTTTCTGGGGTTTCAGTTCTACCCAAAGTTGCTCAGGCTTCCTCCTAGCTTAGTGGCTAGGTTTCAAGAACTGTTTCAAGAGAAGAAGCCCCAATGTGCAAGTATTTATCAGGTCTGCAGTGACACCATTCTTGCTAACATCCCATTGTCTAAAGCTAGTCACATTTCCAAGCTGCGGTCAATCAGGGAGGGAACCACACAAAGCTCTGGATCGCAGGAAAGAAGATTCATTGACGGCCACCAAAGAGAGCACTCTCTGGTCTCTAATGGAACATGTCCTTACTACATGAAAAATATAAGTATCCCTTCCAAGGATCTGAGGTCTTATCTTACTATGATATCATGCACAGAATCTCATCATTTAAATCAATCCAGGTGCAGAAGGGGTCTCTTGGGTGTAGTTCCTCTTGATCTGAAGATGTGTGAACTAAAGAGGCATGTTTTCCCGTCCGCACACCCAATATAAAATGAAGAGGCAAGCATAGGAAACCTGCAATAGATATTCCTACTCAAAAAGGTTGAAAATGGATGGTACACGGAAGTTACTGGTCCATAGCAATTTTGAAATTCAGTCAGGTGCATGTAGCTAGTTTATTGATGACTCAGTTCTGCTCCTGGCAATGGATTCTCTGTGCCTCTTACTTCTGCCCTCTGTGCTTGAGACTGTTCTCTGAGATATCCTTCTTTTCTAAGAGAAATGACCTAAGTGTGTAATCGGGTTTCTTTTTTGATCTACTTCTTCCCCACAGAAGTTTGGAGGTCTTGAGGCATCTTTGCATTTTGAACTACCTCTTTCCTTGTTTTTGTTTGTTTGTTTTTTTAGTCCAGGCTGATATAATTTCACTAAAATTTGTATAGTTTTACATGTATCAAACTATAATCTATAGTAGACAAAACCCTACTAACAGATCTCTTCAAGCAGTCCTCTCTCTGCAGAACGAGGGTTTGCAGGCTGTCTCTGACCATACATCAGAATGCTATGGGAAAACACCCTTAATATTCTTGGTACATTTTGCCTCACTGAGAGGATCTGTGAAACATTCCTTAAATATTTCTAATGTGTTAACAGAGATCTTGACCCTAAAGCCATATTTCACTCCCAGCACTCTGTACTGTGTCTTCAAACCAAGGTCATTTCTTACTTCTACAATTTTTTCTTGGAAAGACTAGGAATGAAAAACAATTATGTTATCAAACATAGCAAGTTGTAGCTCCTTTTTAGTTTTTCTAAATTCTACTTGAAATCTGAACAGGTCCTTCTTTTGCTCAACATGTATCTTCTGTTCTTTATCATAGGCAACTAAAATTAGGAGCCAGATGGCCCATTCAATATTTTCTGCCTGAAAATCTCCTTAGCCAGATCCACAGACTTATCAGGTATGTTTTCTATTTCCCACATGACCAAGGTAACCATTTTGTTACTTGTTCTGCCAATACATAGCTTGGGTTCTCATTCCCCCAGCTTCCCACAGGAATCTCCTCGTTGCCCCTCCCACCTCTGCTAATAGTCTCCTTCCCATTCTTCCCATTCTGTCTACCAGAAGGAATGAAGGACCTTGTGTTATTGTGGGACCCCACTTTCAGGTAACAATTTCTATTTTAGTTATCTATTGTTGCATTTAAAAATCTCAAATTTGACGGTTTATAATAATTTGTTATTACTTCTTCCAATTCTGTAGGTTGACCGGGGGTATTACACTTCACATACTGTTGACTTGGAGTTGGGCTGTCTAGAAGGTCTACAATGGCTTCATTTATATGGCTGTAAATTGGTACTGGCTGCTGATTGGAGGTTCAGCTGGAACAGGCAAAGGGGCTTCAGTTATTCTCCATGTGGTTGCTTAGGGTTTCTCACAACATGGCAGATAGGTTCCAAGAAGACAAGCCTCAATATGCAGGGACCTATCAAGGCTTCCCTTGCGTCAATCACTCTGCCTAACGTTGCATCGGCCAAAGCTCATCATGTAGCCAAGCCCAGAATCAATACGTGAGAGGACTCATAAGGAAACAAGTACTAAGGAGTAGTTTATTGAGAGCCACCAAACTCTATCGCATCCTTCATTTGGTTGAACAAATGATTTAGAGCACAACTGTCATTATAAAAGAATCCGGTTAATTATAAGATCAAAAATCACTTTTATAAATTTTTATTTTATTTGAAAAAATACCATGGAACCTGTTTTATGTTGTCCACGGTGACATTTTGGTCTGCACGTTTTTTTTTTTTTTTTTGAGACGGAGCTTCACGCTTGTTACCCAGGCTGGAGTGCCATGGCGTGATCTCGGTTCACTGTAACCTCCACCTCCTGGGTTCAGGCAATTCTCCTGCCTCAACCTCCTGAGTGGCTGGGATTACAGGCACGCGCCACCATGCCCAGCTAATTTTTTTGTATTTTTAGTAGAGACGGGGTTTCACCATGTTGACCAGGATGATCTCGATCTCTTGACCTCGTGATCCACCCAATTGGGCCTCCCAAAGTGCTGGGATTACAGGCTTGAGCCACTGCGCCCGGCCTGGTCCACACTTTAAGTAGATTTCAGTCGAGTGGCCTTTTCCTAGTATCAATTACCCTCAGATATAAAGAGGTCTTCTTGTATTTTGTTTTTCATTTCACTTTTATACCTTGAGTCTCACTCTCAGGTCAAGAACACTTTGCAGAAAAGAAGTAACACAAAAAACAGAATTTGGATATTGCTGGTTCCTGGAAATAACACCATCAAAATAGCAGCAAACATCATCCTTCTTCCTGACAAATATCTTTTTTTAAAAAACTTGGCTGGGCACAGTGGCTCACACCTGTAATCCCAGCACTTTGGGAGGCTGAGGTGGGAGGATTGCTTGAGGCCAAGAATTCAAGACCAGCCTGGGAAACATAGAAAAACTCCATCTCTACTGAAAATACAAAAATCATCTGGGTGTGGTGGCATGCACCTATAATCCCAGCTACTTGGGAGCCTGAGGGAGAAGAATTGCTTGAACCTGAGAGGCAGAGGTTGCAGTGAGCTGAGATTACACCACTGCACTCCAACCTGTGTGACAGAGTGAGACTCTGTCTCAAAAATAAATGCAAATAAATAATTTTAAAAATAAGAAATTTCACTCTTTAAGAAGAAGTAACCGGTCACTCTCCCACCAGCTTTATAACTAGGCATTGATAATTAGGTGTGGCCTGAAATTATATACAATAGTACTTTCCTCATCATATGTTAATAACCTACAGCTTTTACAAACTGCTTTAGATGGAGGATTCTAAAGAAATTAATTCTAAAAAGCCTAGAGTCTTTACACGGAACATTTTGAACAAAAGTGTAGTGATTTTTGTTGTTGTTTGTTTTGTTTTCTTTTTTTTTTCTTTTTGAGATGGAGTTTCGCTCTTGTTACCCAGGCTGGAGTGCAGTGGTGCAATCTTAGCTCAATGCAAACTCCGCCTCCCAAAGTACAGTTTTTAAACAGGGGTTTAATTTTTTTCTTGGCTTTATGTTTAAGCTTTAAATGAAAGTTTAAAGAATACGAGTATTTCATGTTTTATAACACCGCATGGTCTGCACTTAGCATTGAATACCTGGGATATGTCTTTTTCACATAGCAATAGGAAAGGCTTGAAGTGACTGAAATCACTGAAATTTAGGAAACACTCCACATTCTCATCTAACACTTGATGAGACTACAGGCATTTTTTTAAAAAAGAGATTTAAAATCCAGCCAAAAACCGTACATGCTAACCATTTTGTTCCCCCACCCAGATTCTCATTTTAATCTCCTAACAGTCACAATAATAAGCTTTCCTTTTCCCACTCCAGCATGAATATCAGAAGTATTATGAGTAAAACTCTGCAATCAAAATGCTTCCATGGAGCCAGTGATCTCAACAGAGCTGCCTGGGCCACCCCCAAGGGTGTTGTTAACCTCTTCTTCCATTTCCTCCTCCTGAACAGATCCGTCATTTTACCAGACCTGAAATTTCCTTTTCTTTCCCGTATCTTCATAATAAATTGAGCAAAGGATACGTGACCCTGGGGGTTTTGTCATTGTGCCTTAGTTTCCATGGCAATCTTGGTAATTTGTAAAGGACCCGTAAGCCTTGATTTAGTATCAGCTCTGTGTCTGTCAAATGTCAAACTTGAAGACAAACCCAGTGCAGAACAGGGAGCTGGTCTATGGGCAAGCTGGAGGGTGGTGCTGTCATTAGGGATGAGCTTATGAGACGGTCAGTGTGTAGGTTCGTGGGTGAATCTCAACAGCAATTCCTCCACTAACAGACGTTTCTCATAACCCAAAGCATACCTCAGGGGGCATCTCCTCCACATCCAACTCTTTCAACAAATGCATGCTGTCTTATTTTAAAGAATCTAATGAGAAAGGGATTCAGTAACTCCCTTCAGAAATGGTTTCCATTTGTCATACTGTCAGGAATTTCTACACATCCCATAATACAAAGTCCTCCCCTCTCTCTTTCTCTCTGACTTCTCATTGCACTAAGACACTGATTAAGAGGCTGATCATTAACTTACTAATAGCTATCATTCACTGAGTAGCCACCACATGTCATATTATATATCAACAATCCAGTGCCAGAGCACAGTGGCTCAGGCCTCTAACCACAGCTGAGATGGGAGGCTGAGACAGGAGGATCATGAGGTCAAGATGCCAGCCTCTGCAATATACTCCTGCTGTGTCCTTTCCGACCCCACTGCCTGCTCCATGGTTTTCACCTCCAAATCCCACATCTACAATCATAAGGAAAGCTGTGTTGAGACTTTCTCTGGAAGCTGGTTTATGTTGTCCAGTTGGGCTAAAAACAGGACTGGGGCTGGACATGGGGGTCACACCTGTAATCCCAGCACTTTGGGAGGCCAAGGTGGGTGGATCACTTGAGGTCAGGAGTTTGAGACCAGCTGGCCAAAATAGCAAAAACCTGTCTCTACTAAAAATACAAAAATTAGCCATGCGTAGTGGTGGATGCCTGTAATCCCAGCTACTTTGGAGGCTGAGGCAGGAGAATCACTTGAACCCAGGAGGCGGAGGTTGCAGTGAGCCAAGATTGTGCCACTGCACTTCAGCCTGGGCGACAGAGACTCTGTCTCAAAAAATAAAAAAATAAAGAAAATAAAAACAGGACTGGAGGAAATCTCTATAAAGCCCAGTCCTGGCATCATTTCAGGATGCCCAGGTAGAGAGCACCAATCTCTCTGCATTTCTGCAGCCAGAGGCTTTCCTAGGTGGAAGCTGCCTCTTCTCGGCTTTAGTGCATTTTCTCGTGTTTTTGCTCTAGCATGTCTTATGTTATTTTTTTCTGTTAACTTCCTGAAAGCTAGACAAAAGAAATTCTTGCTTTTGGGCATCACTGAAGTGATGGTTCCTGTAGCTCAGCAGTTATACATTAGACATTAGAGACCAAAAATAAAAATAAAATAAAAGTAAATGCTAGCTAGTAAAGAAGATGAGTCTCAACTTGGTTCTGGAATGAATGACAACATTTTTCAAAAACATTTTGCCAGAACAGGTCTCCTACTCTATGTGAACCTTTCAAAAAAGTTGTAATTTTTGTTTTTGTGGTTAAACCTGTGAGGGAGTTAAGGGCAAGATCTGCATCATGTTTGTATACGTTCCATTGAAGAAACCACGCTCTGCTTGTCTCATTCATGTTAAGGAAATTCTTTATCATCCAAGGCATCTTGTAAAATATCAAGAGCATCTAGGTTTTATGATCACCATTCACACGCAACCCATGGCTCCTTGACCATAGCTGTCCTGGAATTGACAATACTTGGGAAGATATTTCAGAAAATGGACTTGAATAGATAAACCAACAAACAAAACCTTTTCCTCTAGGGAGAGAAGCAAAAAGGACCTGAAGTGTCTAATACCATAAAGAAGAGGCTGCCCGCCAGGATGAAGTAATACAGAAAAGGACAACATGGAAGAAAGACTGAGGGGTAAGAGATGTCATGAGTCCTGCCCTATCTCTTTTATACTGTTGACCTCACTGAATTTAACAGATTTTTCAAAGCCTCTTTAAAAATCCATGCTATATATATTTTAAACCTTGAAGTAAACCATACTGAACTTTGCAAATAGAAAACTCTTTCCCATAGAGCTTAAATCAGACAAACTTCTGGAAAACCATATTCTCTCTAAGTTAGACAGAAAAGTGAAAGACTTATATACATTGTTTTTGTTTTGCTTTGTTTTGTTTTTGTTTTTGATTTTTGAGATGACTGGAGTGCAGTGGCGCCATCTCTGCCCACTACAACCTCTGCTTCCTGGGTTCAAGCAATTCTGCGTCAGCCTCCCGAGTAGCTGGGACTATAGGTGCATGCCACCATGACTGGCTAGTTTTCGTATTTTTAGTAGATATGGGTTTCACCATGTTGGCCAAGCTGGTCTCAAACTCCTGATCTTAGGTGATCCACCCACCTCGGCTCCCCAAAGTGCTTGGATTACAAGCGTGAGCCACCATGCCTGATCCTTATGCACATTTTTTTTTAGATGGTGTCACCCAGGCTGGAGTCCAGTGGTGCCATCATAGCTCACTGCAGCCTCGACTTCCCAGGCTCATGCAATCCTCTCACCTCAGTATCCAGCATAGCTAAGACTGCAGGCATGCACCCACCATGACCAGCTAATTTTCTTTTTCATTTTTTGTAGAGACAGGGTCTCACTACATTGCCTAAGCTGTTCTTGAATTCCTGGACTCAAGCCATTCTCCTACCTCAGCCTCCGAAGGTGCCAGGATTATAGGCATGAGTCACTGTGCCTGGCTGCTTTTTGTACTTTGAGTACCATAATCATACAACTAATTCCTGTATTTTTATATAAAATATTTGTCATCCTTGCTATACATTTAAAATGTCTAAAATAGCATACAACAAACCATCAGCTTTGATCATTTCAATATTTTATCATACATCTACACTCACTTTTTAAAAGTTGAAATACTTTAAAACAAACCAAAGTTTTCAAGTCTTTTTAAAACTAAATACTTCATTGGGTATCTAAAAAGACGACAATATTTCATTATATAACCATAATGCCATTAACACATCCAACAAAATTAATCATCTGACACTTGAGCCTGCATAAAAACTCTACAAATTGATCTAAAATAATCTTTTTACCATAGGTTTATTGGAAACATTGTTGAAGGTGATCATGCCTCTAAGTCTCTTTTATATTTTTCTCACTAGAATCACTAAAATAATCATCTCCCTCCTTCCTTTTTCTTTCCACGCCATTGGGTAGCTGAGGAAACCTGATGCATTGTCTTGAAGAACTTACTACCCTCTGAATTTGGCTGTAAAGTCAACTCTTAAGCTTTGAACACCCTTGCCAGCCAAGATTTCCAAAGGAGGCTGGGCATAGTAGCTCATGCCTATAATCCCAGTGCTTTGGGAGGCCCAGGTGGGAGTATCGCTTGAGCCCTCCCACCAAGGAGTTTGAGACCAGACTGGGTAACGTAGTCAGACCCATCTCTAAAACAAATATCTCCGGAGGAACATCCTTTGATCTTGTAGGCACTCAGTACTGCCCTTAGTTGATGAAACTGGCTGGCATATACCCTGAGTGTCTACACATCCCTGCTCCTCTGCTGGTTCCACAGTGGAGGAGGGAAACTAACAACTTAGACCCTAAGAGCCTTTCTCCAGGTCTCCAGCAGATTTCAAAAGAGAAAATGTGGTGCTGTGGAATACTATGCAGTCATGAAAAGGAATGAGATCAGGTCCTTTGCGGGGAATGGATGGAGCTGAAAGCTGTTATCCTCACTGAACTAACACAGGAACAGGAAACCAAATACCACATGTTCTCACTTATAAATGGAGCTAAATGATGAGATCATATGGACACACAGCAAGGAAAAATACACATTAGGGCCTGTCAGAAGGTGGAGGGTGGGACGAGGGACAGCATCAGGAAGAGTAGCTAATGGATGCTGGGCTTAATACCTAGGTGATGGGGATGATATCTGCAGCAAACCACCAAGGCAGGCATTTACCTAGGTAGCAAACCTGCACATCCTGCACATGTACCCCTGAACTTAAAAGTTGGAAAGCAAAAAAGAAGAAAAAGAAAAAAGAAGGCTGGAAGACCTGAGTTCTGCTCCAAGGACTCGGCATAGAGAAAGTGCAGCCTAGGGTTGTGTAGGAGCTGTCTTAGGAAAGAACAAAAGTTGATTGCTTAAGAAAACAAACTAGCATTTATGTTCCAAAAGAGGAAGCTCCTATGGCAAATATGTAGGACTTGCTGAGGCTCAGCACAGAGGCTTGGCATCGCTGCTTGGAAAAGCACCTAGCAACAAGTAGTTGCCTGGGGTGCTCCAAGCCCTGGCTTCTGTTTACCCAGCCCCATTCCTGTCTTTGTATTTACAGGCAGAGAGCTCAGAGTCTGCAGATTAGGAGCAATAATAAGGATGGTGTTTGTGTAGCACTTTGTCCCAGGCAGCTCCAAGCGCTTGGCAGGGAGCATCTTGCTCCCGCTGCTGGAGCTGTGAGGAGGGAGAGAGCTGTGGCCTGGGGAGGAGACTGTTTTCTCCCACAGGGCCCTGCAGCACTTACACCGCCACCTCTTTGTGGCTCCATCTTTCACATCTGCTCAAGGTGGCTCCTCCAGCTCCCTCTCATTGGGCTACTTCTGAAAGTCCAGTTCCCTCCCCGCAATCCAGAAGAACCTAAACACGAGTCCCTGGAGTTGATAATGTAACTTCAAGAGAAGCCTTTTGACAAAATACCTGGGAGAGCTCGAATGACACCATGTGCATGCTTCAGTTTAGATAAACAAGCGCTGGCCGAGGCTTGGTGCTCAGCGCTGAGTGTAAAAGAGAATATACCTGCTGCCGCCTTCCAGAGGCTCTCAGAGCAGGGCTGTGTTCATCCACGCCTCCCTGATCTAGCTTTCTTTAGCAAAATACTTCCAGCTCACACCTGTAATCTTAGCACTTTGGGAAGCTGAGGCAGGCAGGCTTCCCAAAAGTCAGCAGTTTGAGATCAGCCTCGCCAACATAGTGA